CTCCTTACCTAAACTCCTGCATTTCTCTTTGCTCCTCAATAGAGATCTGTTGGGCTGCCTTAGCCTTTGAGCGTTCCACTAGGTCCAGGAATCCGACCTCGTCATCGTCCAAACCACGGATCATGTTTTCTGCAAAGACACATTTTCTAATTAAAGAAATAGGAAAATATGTTTATTAGTGAATAACGGTAATACGACATATAATCTAGAGGAAATACACACTTTTTTTAAGGGGGGAAAATCATCGAACTCCTGCCTGGGTGAGGCGTGAGGGAGTGTCAGACTCTTACTGACTAAAAACCACCCCGTTCCTTCTCCTGCGCGTCGAGCCGAAACCCCGATAACCCGTTAGGTTATCCGCGACAGGAAATACACACTAGGATTGTCTCCTGTGTCGTGGGTGGGTTTACAAACATACAAGTTCACATACACATGACACCCAGACCCGGAACAACAATTTGTGTAAACACATTTGTGCAAACACAAATTGTTGTTTGCAATTGCCGTGCAGCCGATTGCTCAGAAGATACATGAGGCTCCATATCCTTAACTATTATTTCTAAAATATATAATCTCAAAGTTTATGAGAGATTCGCTAAGAGAGAAAGCCATATGGCATTAATATCCGCCTTGTATCATTACTTGTTTTTGTTAACTGCCCGAGAAGCTGCTTCGACTACTTTCGAGCTACGTCGGGAGCCCATAATAACGAGCAACCAACACAACCGACGTGATGAGCGCTACACAGCCAAGAACAGTTAAGTGAGTAAGCTGTACACGTTAATTAATTTAATGTTTTACCATAGTTATATAACAAAAATATTGTAAGTATAGTGGTCATAGACTCGGTAAAATGGCATAAATAATTAAAAAAAAAACAACTACTTACTGAGCTTATGCGCCTCTTCGTATTCAGCCTCCTTCTTCAGCCGCTGCTCTTCCAAGCGCTGGTACAGCGGCCGAGTGTCATAAGGTTCCTCTGGTGCCTCTGTAAAATAAAATAACATCATCAATAATACAACAATAACTAAACAAAAGATTTCTTTAAGTTCGACATGCCGCACAATTTATACTATTGACGCTGGTTTCACAGCTTGGCCCGTTCCCATAGCATTAGCTTTGGGACACCTGTGTACGAGGGGGTGCAGACCCCAGAGATGTAGGTCACACATTGCTAACCTTATGAAAACTTTTTATAGTCAAAGTCAAAGTCAAAATAATTTATTTCAATTAGACTAGAAAGGCACTTTTGAACGTCAACAAAAAATTAAAAGTGAAGCTATTTGCTCATTCCAAGGTGTAGATTCCTATGGAGAAGAACGAGCAAGAAACTCCTTAGGTTACTCTTTACTCTTCGCAATACAATTCTCTAGTTACATAGTTTTGTTGTTTGGATTGTGCGACAACAATGGAACACTAAAATCCAGTCAAAAAGATCGAAAAAGAAAATAACCTTAAGGACAATAAAAAATTCAGTCTGGAGCTGACCAGTCCCATTTGACGGCGCCCGTTCACGAACATGACACGTACACCAACACTGCCCAACTCAACCATATTCTAGGGAATCGAGCGATCCACCGCACGTGCCACCGCCAATGAGAGGTTTGAGTGAGCATGACAACTCCAAGCTGACCCAAATGCATTCTACTAGTCTAATTTAATATTAAGTTAATTACAGGGCACTAACATTTACAATGGTTATCCAAGTTAACCAATATACAATTTAACAATATGGCTGTATTATTTACGCATTTGGATTTCATTAAAACATCAATGTTTTTCTTTATCAGACTTACTTTCGCCAATCTCAAAATTGGCTGACTTAATTTATTCTTATGTCTAGTTTGATAGTGGTGTCTGTCCGACACTTTACCAAATAACTGTAGGTTTTTCCTAACATACATGATGAAGTCTATATGTTGATATAGTACATTTGATCGTTTTGTCATTCAAAATAATCAATAATTCAATATTCAGTACTTGCTATGTTAGATTAAGGCCTTGAACAATACTATTTATTATTATAATGGAAGATTTGAGTTGACAAATAGAAATAATACTCAAAGGAGTGACCATAAAGGTGAAATTCCAATGATGAGTTTTGAGTATGCTGCATAGAACTCGATAACAATAGAAATTCTAATGGAATTGAATATAATAACAAATGGTAGGTACATCATCATATTCATCATAACAGAATTAGTTACTCATTTATGATAAGCATGAAGGGAAGGTTTCTATAAATTATAATACAACTACTGATGCACATAAAAAATCTGTCTCTACCCCTATCCATGTGTAAACATATTTTTTTTTACAATGTTTTCGAATCCTATTTTTAATCGAACACTAGCAAATCCGAACTCCGTTTCGCCACCAGATGGCTTCGTTTTATGTAACAATTCGTTTGGTGATTAAAAGATGAAGAAAAATTTTTTTTTCCTGAATTTTCTTTGCTATAAACCTTACGGAGCCCGAGACCTTTCCAACGAATGCAAAACAGTGGAAATCGGTTCGTGCGTTCTGGAGTTATAGCGTCTGGAAGGAAAACCCGACTTATTTTTATATATATAATAGATTTAGAAACCAGTGAATACCACTTTTTTACGTGGTAAGCCTCAATCGGCTTCGCCCATGGACACCCGAACACCAAACGCGTTACAAGTGCGTTACCAGCCTTTTGCGGATTAGGAATTTGAGGATTGTTGGGGATTCGTGGTTGGTGGAGATGTGTAAATAGGGCCTCCGGTAACCTCACTCACACGACGAAACACAACGCTTGCGCTGTTTCACGTCGGTTTTCTGTGAGGTTGTAGTATCACTCAGGTCGAGCTGGCCCATTTGTGCCCAAGCATGGCTCTCCAACACTTAAGAGCCCACTGGAATTGTTTTTGTTGACAGGAACCCAACAAACGCTGTTACAACTTGTTTGTTCAGTTTAAAAATACTTAGAAAAAACTATTAAATAAATTATTCAATGCACTACTTACATGTATGCACCTTTCCCAATTTCAAATCAAAACATATATGTTACTAAATTCGAAAATGTTTTGAGAAATTCACTCAATTTCATTATTTTGTTTTGGTTCTCATGGGAACAGAGGCCTTAGTACAAGTTGTAACGAGAACGCGTTCGGCGCTTTGATTGGTTGGTTCATTGGCATCGGCCAATCAGAGCGCCGAAAGCGTACTCGTTACGATTACTTTTAACGTAAAAGAAACTCGTACTAAGGCCTCAGGTAGGTAATACTGTTACTTTCAATAATAACGATCGAAGTGAGTTCGATTGAAATTCAAATGGACAATTGAAGAATTGCCTAGTAAATGAAAGATCTCAAAGGATTTTTATTAATATTTTTTGGGCCAACATTGTTACCACGATCCCACATTACACTAAAATTGTTTATGACCTTATAGTTCTTCCTACTCTTGAGGAATCATAGACTTTTGAGAGGTAACTTCTTAACTTCAGGTTTGGTTCAGTAAATATTTTCGCTTAGCTTTGTATCAGTTGTAGATTTTTAGCCTCCATACCGCAGGATATCTCCTTTTGTTTTGTAAGAATGAAAAATGATCAAATTACGCTTTCTACACTGGGCGAGACAGAAGGGAGTAGTCAAACTCTTAACTATAGAGTGCACTTATTTGAAAAATGTCAGCGGGTGTGTAGTGAGCATTTTGCCAACCGTCGAAACCTGGTGTTAACATAACAAATACCATCTCAACTGCTCCCTCGCTAACTTACAGCATCAAATTCTTTAGTACACATCGCTAACGAGACTAGAGGCAGCTATTAATAACTACAAGACTATGAGGCCATTGTTTCAAAAGTTGCCAATGTTTTTTAGACCATATGAAATGTCAATAGCTCTCCCACATTAGGTTGACTAAATATGTACAACTGTTTTACATTCTATCACATTTACCTACTCAATTCAGAAAACAATGTAGTAAATTTTGTTAAACAGTTTAATTTTGTGGACAAATCACATAGGTAGTACGCAATTTGCAATAAGGTAAACAATAATATGTTGATTTATAGAGAGGAAACTAATGATCATATTGCTTTTTAATTACTAAATAGCTACTGCACTACATCAAACTCATAAAATTTATTGACATAATATTATGTCAATTATAAAATTTGATTTACAAAAACCGACCTTATTGAAACTGCCATTTGAAAACCCAAGAATTTTACTACATTCAAGGCATGATAAGAGGTATTTTTTTGAACATATTATAATTATTATCTTCATAACAAACTCAACTATATTTTAATATAAATGCCATTTTAAAAATGAAGGCTACGTAATACGACTTATTTCAATGCATTATTGCACTCGTCCGTTTGTCATGCTAATAACACGATACGAAAGAACCATTTCAAAGTTAATTAGCAATTAAAAAATAGTATTATATCATACATAATACACAGCAGGCAGTCTGAATAGGCAAAGATATTAAAAGTTTAAAGCGATCGTTTTTTTATCAATGCCAAACGTAACAATGATGATTAAGTGTAAGGCGATCAAAACAAATTCTGGTATTTTACCTTCCGGCTGGTCTGCTGTACGTACTTTTTCCCATTCCTCTTGCCTTCGCCTCCTAGCTTCCAATATTTCACTTTCGGATATAAATCCAGAACTCATTTTTAATTAAAATAATATTTTCTCGATAAAAACACTGCACCTCACACACTTTTTTATAATAACCTAACTTTTTTCAGTAAATTTGATCTTGATTGGTAGCTGTCAAGCACAGGAAACCTTATTGTTATGCCACAGACGTCAACATTATGTTTCTTTTTTAATATTTTGAACAATTAATCAGTAGGTGATTTTGTTTTGTTTGATAATAATTTTTCAATAAATAATTTTACTTAGTTAAAAGTAATATAACTTAAAAAAACACCCTTCAAAACTACCGACTACAACCATGACCAAAACCACAGTGACATTCTGTGCAATTTGACATTGACAGTTGCCAAAGTTCGAAAATATCTAATTGGAAATTCTTCAGCAAAGCAAGCCGGTTATTTTTCGCATGAAATTATAATTTCAAACGAACTTTCTTTACAACTAGTCGCTGAAATACTAAGTATAATACCGGTACAATATGTCTGAGGTCGAAAATAAAGTCGTACCAGTGGAACAGAAAGACTACGTCGAAGATGGAAAAAACAAGTTGATTGTTAAATGTAAATTCTGTGGATCTAAGATATTAGAAAAGAAATCAGCGAAGTATATCACATTAGAGGTAATATTTCAAACATTATACTTTCATTTTGGCGCTTTCTTCTATCTGTGGCTTGTTAAAGACTAATGAAATAATAAGATCAATTTTGCGTGTTTGAATGTGTATCAATGGTTAAATATTTAACAAAACACGGCCCGTTATCATCTTTCTAAATATAGAAACTCCTAAAGTTCACTGAAGATACCAATAAAAATAAGTTCATAATTATTTTTATTCCGCTATAGGAATACCCACCATACTAGAATAAAAAATTTGAATAACTTACTTTTTTATTTACAGAAAGAACTGCCACTAATGCAACAAGACAACAACAGAAAGGAGGGTGAAATACAAAATGAGTCCGTAAATGAGTTCTACCATGTCGAAAACATGTATACATTTGAAAATATTGGTTTTACGCACACTGTAGCCAATTGCAAGTACTTAAGTTGTGCGGACTGTGACGCAGGGCCCGTTGGATACTACGATATGGAAACGAAACATAGTTATGTGGCCATATCTAGGATTGTACATGCTTAAATGGATAGGTAGGATGAATTGGAATCGATGACGGTAGCGTAGTTGATAATTTTTGTTTACTGCTTCATAAGCTATGTTTCACTACTTATGATTGAGTTTCTATTAGTATAATTTGGTGGTGTACAAATGTTGTGTCCCTTCGTCCAGCATACTCACCATGGAATCCTGATATTTCATGAATGTCAAAAAACTGTTCTGAAATAGTGCTAAATAGTGCCCAAAGGAAAAAAATAGTGCTCTTGTACTTGCGAAGTTATAGCCATAGTTCGATGAGTATGCTGGACGAAGGTTTCGCCCAGCATACTCACCTCCGTCCGGAGAATCTGTATACGCTTCAAACATAATTCATACTTCAAAAAATAGTTCCCAAATAGTGCCAAACGGTGCCCAAAAAGAAAAAACAGTGCTCGAATAACTTCGGAGTTATAGGCTTCGTTCAGTGAGTATGCTGGGCGTAGGTTCTACGCCCAGCATACTCACCTCAGTGCGCGAATATCGAACGAGCTATAGGTACAATTTACGTCTCAAAAAATTGTGCTTGAAATAGTGCCCAATATCAGTCCAATTTTTGCTTGACTTTTGACTTAGAAAACCATTAAATTTTAATGTAAACTTCTACATACTAACGTAAAATGGGGTACAGTCGTCGACACATGTTTTTGGACAAAAATATTAAACTTTCTAATTGTAGACTTCATGTTATTGGAAATAATTATGGTATTTTCTCACATGTCAAAAACTTTCGATTAAATGCATTATTATATATTTTATAAATAATAATAAATGAATGAAACTTTAAGCGTAAATGAAGTCTATTACTTCATTGCATTGTGTGTTTGTCTGAATAAAAACAGTCATTTGCAGCCAATAAATAAAAGCGTCGCGGGCGCCGCGCGTCGCTTTGTGACACAAAATGGACCCTTATCACCTTCAAAATACAGATCAGTCTTGTCTAATAATCGTAAGATGTTAGGGCAGCGCCATCTAGTATTTAAACATAAACATATTCATTTGCGTCGCGGGCGCCGCGCGTCGTAAGCCCCATACCTATTGACCGTACGTGCATCCATTACTGCCACACTATATTGAACTTTATCACATGAGGAATACAGGTCAATTCCGTAAACGTTGTGGTACCGTCCTTGATCCGGAAAATGATTATTTTGAATAATTTTGTCAGTTGTAATGTAAGCATTAATAACAGCAACTTTATTTTTCATGCATGATTTACTTCATTTGATATCTTAATCCTTCAAGCGCCGTGATCTAGACAAAATATATAAAATCATTGTTCCTAGCTACCGGGGTCCCATGCGACGCGCGAAGGCTTAATCATATTATTATAAAGTATTATTAAAATAATGTGTAATTAATAATATTGCGATTCTAAAGTAAATACTCCCTTACATAGACAATTAATAATTTACACAAGACAAAAATTGTTAGAAAGAAAGTTAATAATATTGTATTCGACTGTACTCAATGTAATGTATGTAGAAGTTTACAATCAAATTTAATGGTTTTCTAGGTCAAAAGTCAAGCAAAAATTGGACTGATATTGGGCACTATTTCAAGCACAATTTTTTGAGACGTAAATTGTACCTATAGCTCGTTCGATATTCGCGCACTGAGGTGAGTATGCTGGGCGTAGAACCTACGCCCAGCATACTCACTGAACGAAGCCTATAACTCCGAAGTTATTCGAGCACTGTTTTTTCTTTTTGGGCACCGTTTGGCACTATTTGGGAACTATTTTTTGAAGTATGAATTATGTTTGAAGCGTATACAGATTCTCCGGACGGAGGTGAGTATGCTGGGCGAAACCTTCGTCCAGCATACTCATCGAACTGTGGCTATAACTTCGCAAGTACAAGAGCACTATTTTTTTCCTTTGGGCACTATTTAGCACTATTTCAGAACAGTTTTTTGACATTCATGAAATATCAGGATTCCATGGTGAGTATGCTGGACGAAGGGACACCAAATGTTGACCTACCAAGTATAAAAAAAATAAAACTGGCTGGTACATTAAAATAATGTGTAATTTATAGCTAAGAGGTTCTCAGTTGGTAGTGATGAAACAGATCCTTAGTCAAGTTTATTATCTGTAGAAAAACAAATGAATGTGATTTTCTGAAAAGACACCGGTGTCCCTATTGTCTACTACATTAATAGACCCTATGTCTGATACTTAGAGACTACTTTTGTGTGATCAATTTTGGTTATTGTAACCATTGCTGTTAATATCATGAATTAGTCTTAAATAAACCAACTAATGCATACCATACATTTGTTTTTTATCTTGACTAAGGATAGGAATATTTAAAAGTTAAACAATTTACTAAATATGGCAGTTAGCAGTATTAAAATATCAACTACGAACTTACTGTTAAGACTACCGTTAAGATCTTCGTTGATTGTCCAATTCTGTTAATATTGACACTTTATATTTATAAGTGTAATCTAATCTGACCTTTTTAAAAAGGATATTTATAAACTCAAAGCATATTGCATTATTATGTACTAGCTGTTCTCTGTGGCTTTGTCCGCATGGTCAAAGGAAAAAGTAGTCTATACAGTGTGTTATAGGGTACTTTTTTGTCCATAAATCATATGGTAACATCGCAATTGTCTCCCAGAAGTACATATACCAATATTCTATTTAGGTGCTTATGAAATAAATAGTAAATAAACAAATTCAATGCAAATAGATTCACAGTTAATAAAATCTGACATAGAAAAAAAAATTACTCATAGACAAGTTCTGTGCTACACCAAAATTATAGGAAATTTAAAAAAATATATATAGATAGATAAAATGTGTAGGTTAGAAAAAAAAAATGTTGTTCTGTGAATGCATACCTACATTTAATTCTCTGGTTATAAAAACATAGGTCAGAATAAAAAAAAAAGTATCAATCAATCTGTAATAAATGGTACTGCTGAGATAAAGTAAAGACCTTTTCTTATATGGAGAACGAATAACTTGTGAGTATAGACTATACTTCAAGGTGATTAGTAATTTTAGACTTGATTCACTCATTTGACTTGACTCATTTAACTATCATTTAAAAAAGAATGTTACTCTTTAGTGGCTAGTAAATTGCTAATGACAGACCTCCATGTTAATTAAATGATGACATTTTAATCCAAATCTGGTGAATAAAATTTCAAAAAATAATTTTTTGAAACCCAAACTACACAATAATTACTTTATTGTATGTAGAAATACAAAAATATATATTTACGTTTAGAATTTATAAACTAAGTTCTATATTTTTGTCATATCAATTTGCTCATTACAAAAATCATTCCTTGCTTCGTTTTAAAAAAAGTTTTTTATGTTTTAATATTAATATATGAAATGCTATAGAAATAGAACTTAATATGAGCTTAAGTATGAAATGTGTTATGTATAATATATATATCTATGTATTGTGTCGTATGTATTTATATTTTGTATTTTTTTTACTGTAATAAAATGCTTTGTTTTGGATGTATTTTCGTGTCTTATTAAAGGTAGTTTCTATATTTGTACCAATAACGTTTGGCGTAACTACAAGGTGGCAACTGGCAAGTCATCAAAGTCCCAGTTTGGACAGCGGAGATTCTCATCTGAACTATTCTTTGTCTATATGGGGAATAGGGGCTCATCCAACGGTATAGTTACACCACTGTCATCAACAGCAGAAAAGTTAAATAAAAATATACATTGTGTTTCACTTCTATATGTACTTATTATATTTTTAGGACCTATTTTTCAATCGTCAGTTAATTCTTAACTGAAGAATAATTGTCGTTCGACAGTTTTTAGTATAGGATAATTATGAGCGTTTAATAGTTGGTTCAGCGTTACATTGTTGGTTACTAATATTAGTACTAAGATAACATAAC